GGTTGATTCTTAGCATTCAAGATTTTAGCAGGGATGGAGAGAGACACTTATGGAAAGGTCCTTGTGAACTCAATGCATGATGTGTTTGCTAAATAAATATTAAGACTCTTTTCAACTTTGATCCATTTATAGACCCAACTAACTATTCTTCTTTAAAAGGAGTTATAGATGCAGAGTTTTGTTTTCTTCTTCTTTTTTTTTTTTCTCAGAGCCTGGTGTAGACCAAATGTGGAAGCATAAAACTATCTTGAATAAAAAGCTGTTTGGGGCCAGTTCAGAAATAGGAAATATAATAAAATCTCTCATGTGTTTATAGTTGGTGCTGGGGCGTCACACAGACTGACAACCCTGATGCGGGTTTTGAGAATTTCAACAGGAGACTGCCTTTCAACTAATGCATCATCCCCCACCCACAATTAACACTGTGCTTGACCCCCTTATATGTCTGTTCTAGACAAACAGGCCCTTACATGGCTAATAATCTTACTTCAATGAATCTTTTTCAATTTTGGAGAAAATATGGAAAAGTTACATCATTTATTTTCCTTGAATTCTCCATTCCCAGTACATTATAAGTTTTGAAGAATTCAAATTCTTCAGTTCAGAAAGGTCTTCTCTCTCCACCTCTGGCTGAAGAGATTTTGATGAATATGGTTTGTTGTTGATTTCTGTTCCCATTTGCATATTTTCTTGATTATAAAGTAATTTGACATTGTTCTTGCATTTCTTACCTAGAATAGGGTGGAGTCGGGGGAAGTTGAGTGAATTCTGATGACATAAATAATAAAATCATAAATAACAAAACCATTTAATGAGCTATGCACTAAGATTCTCCAGAAATTAACACATTTTTAAAATTTTGTCTTCATAAGAGTCTTATGAAATAGGCATTATTATCATCCACTCACAAGTGCAAAAAATGAAGTGTAAAGAGGCAAAGTAATTTGACCATAGTTACATTAATCATGGCCTTAGACTTGAATCCATGTCTGTTGAGCTTTGAATGCTGAATTTCAGCTCTTGTTACACATAGAGTATAAATGTCATCTGTGTAGATGGTGATGCAGGTAAGTTTGACTCCAATGCTGGTGCTAAGCACTAGGGTTATGGAGAAAACACATAGGGCCCATTTGAAGAATGAAGAAGAGTAAGAAAATTCTCACTCCATTCGTTAGACCTCCAAGTTCCACTCGTTGAGCTTGGCATAATTCCAGCATGATTTCAGGCAGTGAGAAGACAATGTGCATGGTGGAAATAAGCTTCACCTCAAGAGGACTGATAAGCCCAGGACTTGAACTTCCAAGTGAGGTTTTCTTTGCATGACACTAAGTGGTATGAAGAGAAGTGTACTTAGTGTGTGACCGAAAAGAGAATGAGTCTCAATCTTGTGTTGTAGAGGACTAAGGCCTGCAGGATGGGCAGGGTAAGTAGAAATGGGAGTAATGACCCTCAGGGTGCTGTCCCCAGGCATGAGCTCCTGAGGTGAAGACCATGAAACAATAGCACCAGGATGGTTAGCCGTGGGGGGATGGAGAATTCTCTTTCTGGAATCTTAAGGGTATAATGCTGGTTCCCCAGCCACACAGAAATGTCACAAAGACCATGACATCCACTTGTCCAGAATGTGAATGGAGTCTAGCCTGCAGTCCAAATGTGGGACTAATTGATAGACTGGTGATATCTTGCGAAGAAAGGCTTCAGATTAAGAAGGGGAAAGAGGACGAAATGGGAGAGAGAGAGAGAAGGGAATAAGGTCAGATAGCATCAAAACAGCCTCAAAAAAGACTTTGCATTACCGAAAGAAAGAGGATGAGCTAGAGGAGCCAGGAAGATCAGGGAAAAGCCAGGAATTCTTGAAATAGCAGGAAGGGTCAGGATGCAGAGAACAGCGGGCCTTTGAAATGTATAGAGATATGCTGTCTCTTGTGATAGGCTGGGAAAGAGAAAGGAAGCCTAAGGGTGAGGGTCCGTACAGAGGCTGTTATGATGCAATGCAACACATAAGTACTGCATCAGAAATTTGGATGAAACACCATGGAGCACACAGGAAAAAGTGTTACTAAACTCCAAAAAGGGAGTCAGCCCTGGATTCAAGAAGCAACATAGATGATGAAACATTTGACCTATGTTTTATGGAGGTGGGCACTAAGCAGGCCAATGCAGTTGCCAGAAACAGCAAATAAAAG